GTATCTGACCTCATTTGCGTCTTAATCTTGCTCTTGGGATCATTTAAGAACCCTCCACGATATTGGATTGAGACACGTGCCCACAAATTAATTTTTGAAGTGGTAGGCACATTGAAGGCTGGGGTAGCAGGACTGTAGTACCAATCAAGACCAAGGGACTCCCTAGTCTTCACACGCATGGCAGCGCTTTGCTGAAACCTACGCAAGCCCAATTCTGCCTAATCACTGTTCTTTTTTAGCTGCACGCAATGCCACAAACTGTGGAGACACAGGTGTTTGGTCCAGTTGACCTTTACCTGAATGACCTGCCAGAGTGGCTACTGTACCTAGCCCTAGCCACAGGCTTTTAATGAGTAGCACTTTATGCCCTGGAATTACACTGGCAGAACCAGTCTTGATCTGGAGAAACCTAAATGTAAGATGTTGGAGAGGCTGAATATAGGAGGAGATGCAGGCCTGGCATAGAGCTGCATTCCTCCAGAGACTTTCTTCACCAAGTTGTCCCTCATAGTAAACACCTGTCAGACATACACCCAAGCTCTCCTTACACTTAGAACTCAGTCTAAGGCTGGGTTATGTCTTGAGCTGCCTGCTCCCCTTTCCATGGTGTGTTGGGTTTGTGCATGTGTGGTGGGGTTTTAGTAGCAGTGGAGGGGACTACAGCAACGGCCCCTGTGAGAAGCTTCTCAAAGCTCCCTCTGTGCCAGGTCAGACCCGACTCTGGCCAAGGCTGAGCCAATTAGTGACAGTGGCTGTGCCTCTGTGACAACATATTTAAGAAGGGGGAGTTGTGGGAGTTGTGAGAAGGAGTTGCGAGGGAAACATCAATGAAAACACCGAGGTTGGTGGAAGGAAGGAGGAGGAGGGTGGAGGTGCACTGGAGCAGAGACCCCCCTGCAGCCCATGATGAGAGGGCAGGCTGTGCCCCTGCAGACCATGGAAGCCTGTGGAAGACCCCACACTGGAGCAGGTGGCTGCCCCCAAAGAAGGCTGGGACACTGAGGGAAGCCTGTGCTGGTGTAGTTCATTGCTGGGAAGACAGCAACATGCAGGAGGGACCTACACTGGAGCAGTTTGGGAAGAGCTGCATCCCATGGTAAGGCCTCATGTCAGAGAAAGTTCATGGAGGACTGTCTCCAGTGAGGGGGACCCCATGCTGGAGCAGAGGAAGAGTGTGAGGAGTCCTCCCCCTGAGGAAGAAGGAGTGGCAAAGACAATGGGTGATGAAGTGACCACAACCCCCATCCCCTACCCCCTGTGCTGCTGGGGAGGAGGAGGTAGAGAAATTGGGAGCAAAGCTAAGCCTGGGAAGAAGGGAGGGGTGGGGGGAAGGTGTTTTTAAGATGTGGTTGTATTTCTCACTGTACTACTCTGTTTGATTGTTAAATTAAGTGGTGGTGTTGGTGGTGTTCAAATTAAACTGATGTTCTTTTTCTTCCCCTAACAAGTCTGTCTTTTGCCCATGACCATAATGGATGAGTCATCCCTCTCTGTCCTTGTCTCAATTCTGAAGCCTTTTGGAGGAGTGAGTGAGTGGCTGCATGGCGCTCAGTTGCCCACTGGGCTTAAACCATGACATGTGGTCACGATGGTGTACAGGCACTGCAATAAACTGACATCCCTTGCCCTGGAATATGGTCCTTGTCCTGCAGAAGCTTCTCAGCTCTGGGGACAGGTAAGGTTAATCACTGCCTCTCCCTCAGTTTAAGAGAACCGGCTTAATCCTTCTGGGGAAGTAAAGTCACCCTTTCTTTGCCCCCACACCCATTTCTCTGAAGCAGGGGGACTGGCACACCCCTGTCAGGGACTTTCTGCTCTTAGCTGAGCTCCTCTGATCACAGCAGGGGAAGTGGACCAGGGCAGAATGGAGCCCTGGGTACCTACTAAAGTACCATGCTCAGGTCTGAGCTCTACAGAGACTTCCCAAAAGGCGACAGACAAACAGTGCCAGAGTCACTGACTTTTGAGCCTTTGCTTTGCTACAGAGCAGCAAGAAGGAAAAGGATGGTGAAGCTGATGGTACCCAGGCAGTTCAGCAGCAGACTGGCTGTCCATGCTGGCTGAGGTTGCAGAAGCTGGGGTTGGTTCTGCCCACAGACCCCAGTGCTCTGGACAGCAATAGGCCCTTGGCTTCGGGATTGCCTACCAAAAAGAAAACATCTTAGACACGAGAGACAGGCACTACGTGCAGAAGTGGCCCTGTATAGGCTGAGAAAAGCAGTCTAAAATGAAACAAAACACCCTTTCAGCCCCAAAGACAAAGTATTTCTGCCTGGAAGGGCTGCCGGGAACTGCCTGAGCCCAACAGCTGCAGGCACAGGTACACACAAGGAAACTGCTACCCTGGCTGCACCCCTACAGTTCAGAAGCCTGAAGTGCAGGGGGAACGGTCTGTCTCCCCTCTGGCAGCACTTCTTTAGCAGCCAGCTTGTCACTGCCCCTTTCCTTGGCATAAACACTGACTGTGTAAAATGGTACGGAAGGCTGAATGAATGCATGCTGGTAAACCATGGAGAACCAGGGAAACTCCAGAGAAACACCCCAGTGTCTAGGCCCTGTGCTGCACCCCTGAAGCCTGATCTGCCAACCGATGGCTACCGCTCTGCAGGATGGCAAGTCCTCACTATTATTCTAGGAAGCTCAGGAAAAACTTACAGTGTGCACTTCACCAGGGATAGACAAGCTCCTTTTGTTCTACTAGAAAATTTTTTGCAACCCTCAGTTCTTGTGTATCTCTCCCTAAGGCAGACTGCTAGTGTTACCGTAAATCTGATCTCAAAAGAACCCTCTAATCCTTAGCTTGAAGTTTTAGAAGGCAGGCATTCTTTATTGCAGTGCTGGATGCACAGGGGATCACTTCGCCTAATGTGCATAATTAAAGCAAAAGTTCATCCTTTCTGTATCTTAAAGACATGAATATTTATACATTTTCCAAGAAGTTTCTGCCTTTCCACCTATCTACTACATATACATCATGCTGGTGTTGCAAAGTTACACTACACATGCGCAGGGGTCTTGGGTGGTCATCAGTGGTCATTTGGGGAGTTAGGCCCCTACTCCTTTTTCCCTTTCATGGTCACGAGTCCTTTGAGGAAAATTTCTGCTCCTTGGATGTTTCCCAACTGCTGTCTGGCCAAGTTGTTCTTTCTTACCCACCTTCTTTGAACAATTCTGACTGGACGCACCTATTCTCAAGGTCAGGGTATCTTCTCTGCACACTTTAATCACTCAGGCCTTGTTAAATACAAAGTTAAACATTGTTTGATAGACTTTCTCAACGCTGCTGAGGAGCTGACGGACTTTTTAAAGGAAACCTCATCTGTCAGAGACACAAGTCAAATTCACTGCCAACAGTGGAAACATGGGTGTCCTAACGGCCCGGCTTGAGAGGGAAGCCAGGACAGCTCAGAGCCATACACGGGGACCACCAGAAGATGGCGGCGCCTCGCCTGACCGGACGGAGCGGGGAGAGGGGTCTTGGGCGCCTCCGCCCGGCCCCCGGAGGCTCCGTCCCGCGGGGCGGGGCGCGACCGGCCGCGGGCCGCTTCCACTGCGAAGGGGTGGGTCCG